GAATCAATCAGGAGAGAGAGACTGTAGAGGGAGTGAACGAGAAACAGGCAGGAGAAGAAAAGGACAGAACAAAAAGTGGACAGTAACAGAAAGACAGGCTGACAAGAGCTCAGCAGACCAGTTTTTCCCCAGAATCTTGAAATACCAATTGTATCACTTTTATTATAAAATGCTACTGATAATGCACCATCAGAACAGAGCTCTCTGTACATCAAATGTAAACTCATTTAAGTTTAACTTTGAAAAACAAGGAAGAGAAACTAGAGAAGGCCAGGCACAGAGAAAAAGTCCACCCAGTTATGTCAACCCACAGAGCAGGGGACACCTGATGCCCCGTACTCTGTGGAGAGACACAGCAACTGCTAGGCAGCACAATATCAAATCAAGATCAAGTGGCACAGATGAGAAAGTGGCTCTTTAGATTGGAGACGCATGCTCACCTGTCTGAGCTGTTCCCAGGGGGAAATGCTGTATCTGCACACAGGTCTGCACAGGAACTCCCGCCAGCCGATCTGCCGTCTGTGGAACAAAGACAGGAAGGATTAAAGACAAGGAAGGGCTTTGTCTTAGCTAAGAGGGAACATCCAAAAAATGACGAGAGTGGGTGAATTTAGTCATCCAAAGGACAGAAACTCCTACAGGACAGTGTCTTTGGTCACCACCCTTGGCCTTGGGTTTGGAAATTCTGTGCCAGGTGGAAAAGCGCCACCTACAGGTCCACCACCACCTGTTTTTTTTTTCCTTTAAAGTCTCCCATTCAAGTACTGACCAGGCCCAGCCTTGGTCACTAGGCTGCGATTGAAAATGTCAAATTACGCAACCTTAAATTCCGTTCCATCGGTACAATTCGCAGAATAGCCAGCAGCTTGAAAAGGCCAGATTGAATCGGATCCGTTACACAACAGCAGTGCTCTCCATCGGCTCCCTGGAGCTCCGGCTCGTACACGATGCACGGAAAGGAAAAAACAGAGCGCTGTTGCGGTGCTGGCGTTTCCCTTGCGTCGTGAAGCTCAGCGACCTCGCCAGGGTGCACTGGGGTCACCGGGCCCCTGGACAGACACCCGCCGCCTTCCTCACGCCACAGGGAAACGCGCGTGCCGTCGCCTACAGCTGCCAGCACCGCCACCACATCATCGAGGCCGGGTCAGGAGACGTGAGGCAGAAGTAAACAAAATCAGTTCTCAGATCTGGTCTGATGCGCCAGCGAGCAGAACCGACGCTGCATGCAGATCTTCTGTCACCCTGTCATCAGAAAGGACATCGCTGCTTTGGCATCAAAGAACAGCAAACAGGTGTATGCTGGGATTTAGAGGAACGTCCTACACTGCCAGCAGCCTTATCACCCTGCAACTCACCACTGGCAGCCCACTGGAGCTCAGCTGGTGTGAGCCTGGTCAGTACCTGGATGGGAGGCTCCTGGGAAAAACTAAGGTTGCTGCTGGAAGAGGTGTTAGTGGGGCCAGCAGGGGGCGCTCACCCTGCAGTCCATGTGGGTCCTAATGCCCCAGTATAGTGACGGGGACACTATACTGTAAACAGGCGCCGTCCTTCGGATGAGACGTAAAACCGAGGTCCTGACTCTCTGGTCATTAAAAATCCCAGGGTGTTTCTCGAAAAGAGTAGGGGTGTCACCCCGACAACCAGGCCAAATTTCCCATTGGCCATCACCAGTCATGGCCTCCTAATAATCCCCATCTCTGAACTGGCTTCATCAGCCCCCAGAGACAGGGACCGGAGAAGGTACCATCTACCGTTGTCCACTCCCACTAGAAAAACACAAAGCCTGTCCACAAATGGTAATAACACTCCCATTGTTGTGCAGTTCAATCCAGGTCAAGTTTTACAAACCGCACTTGAACCGATAAAAGAATAAAAGTGAGCCCAGAGAGCACGCCCATCTTGTCTAAAAAAAAAAACATCTAACGTGTACTTAAGATGTACGGAAAATAAGGTAATAAAGCATAATCAAGGAGCATCAGCAGACACGGGCTTGTACCAGAGAGCAGTTCAGGTGGGCAGCTGCGTCAGCATGGGTAGGCTGCAAAGGAACAAGTAATAGATTGATTCCATGTGAGTCAGTCTCACACCTGAAGAAGGCTCCACGGCCTGAACGTTGTGTTTTCTTTCTTCTTTTTTTCCCAGCATGGCATAAACCTATTACTTGTTCCCTTGAACCAGAGAGCCTGGCAGCTTTCAAAACACGAAGTGGACCAGACTGCCGTGCAATCGGCTCTGCGCCCCTCCTAGAATCTAACCCCGATGGCTCCGGACAGCATGGTCTCCTATTAAGCACATTCACAGGACCCGAATATATAATTTTTTTTCCGTAGCTGAGCAGGGTCAGATCAGGGCCGTAGACTCTTTCCTGCTCCCACCTCTCCGTCAGCCGAGCCCCACTCGCTCGTAAGAAACCCGGGCCGGGCCTCCGAGACACCGCACCGGGAGTACCTTTCCGCCCACCCCGGCCCGGGCAGACCAAACACCCACCTCGCTTTACTCATTTAAAAAAAAAGAAATGACAAAAACGACGGCGGCTTAAAAGCAGAATCGTCAGTTACGCCGACTCACCAATGCACACTCCGCAGTCCCCGGCGGCCCCTGTTACTTTTCAGCTGGCTGATCTAGACAACATTGGGAGTTTGAAGGCATTGGAGAGCGCTTGGATGACTAAACCACTCTGTGGTGAAACGGTTTTCCTGTTTTCAACTACAGGCCATTTCTGCCTTAAGAAAATCGACCCAGAAATGCTCTTAAATCGAAACTAGCGATCCGGGAACGCCGCGAAGGCAGTAAGTCTATAATTTACGTTGAACTCAGCTTTGATTTAAGTGCCGTGTGCTGGAGGACTGATTTTTTGTGTGTGCGGGGAGGGGGGGCGTTCGTATCAGTCTTCGTGCAAAAATGGCAGCAGGCAGATCGAGGGAAAAAAACGACAGATTCCGCAAATCCTCCCCCCGATCGCAAATCAAAAGACTATGATCAGAATATAATTAAATAAACCTTCACCACCTCACCGCCTCGCTCACGACTCGCGCTCTCCGTCTCTCAGTCAGACCCGCATCCGGGGAGCTGCCCCAAATACGGACTGCGCATGCTCCACTGCTGGACGGTGGGAAATGAAGTTTTTTTGTCTCCAAAAAACCTTCCAAGGAAATTGTTTTCCTACCTTTCGTCTACTTCCGCTTTTCCCCCACCGGTCTCTAAACTCAAAGGCTTTCGGGAAATTGAGTTTTCTGGCTTTCTGAAGGTACATATCGTGCAGCTGCCCGACGAATGTTTTTTTTTATTTTTACACTTCTTAAAACCTGTCTTTTCACATATTATAGCTAGCGTTTAGGAGGAATTTACTGGTCTGCAGAGATCTGCATGGAGTACTAACACACAGAAGACATGATGGATGGATTAATACCCTCATTATTTCCTTTTTTTAATTATATAATGTTAGCATGCCCAAAAGGGTTGGGCAACCAGTTGACCTTGGACCCCTAGAGCTTTTTTTCTCCTTACTAAGGAGTTTTTTGGTTCCTCTCCTCTGTTGTCTTCTGTTCTGTATTGACAAAATGTATCGTCAATTGCATTGTTAAGCGCCTTGGGGCAGCCTTGTTGTGAAAGGCGCTATGTAAAAATAAATTGAATTGAATAAGTGTTAAAAATTCTTATAACAATCGTTGCTTCTCGAAGGAAGATGTACATTTTTAAAGTCAGTATACAAACAAGTCCTGATTCTGAATTCACTGTTTACTTTTCATTCTATGCAGCCGAAGAAATACCTTTTCTGGAAATGCCCTGAACCAAACTCTTATCGTGAAGCGAAACAAAACCGTTTTTTCCCCCCCTTTCGGTCAACGTGTTCTCGGAAACGACGAAGCACCGATACATGTGTGCCACCAGGGGGAGCAGTAGATCTCTCGGGTCTCTGCAGCATGAATCTTAAGTTCGGACGTGTCGCCCCACGCTTCTCTGGAGGCGATCTGAAAAGAATATTCCTGAATTCGGTTAGGACTTCGGTTTTCCTTGCGTGTTTCCTTCGGGTTTCAGAGAGACGCAGAAGTGAAGTCTCATTCGCTCTTACGGTCGCCTATGCAAGGTAGTGGGATTATTCCAAGACCAAAGGAGGTCCTGCAGTGCATACTATAACCTCTTTTTCCTATACAGGGTCACCGGGTGGGGTGGGGTGGCTGGCAAGCAACAGGCTCGAGGCAGAATATAGACTCTGGCCAGGGCATTACTCCATCACAGGGCACACACTTACACCAAGCCCAAGTCTTCCCAGAAGCCCATTAGCCTACCCATATGTCTTGGGACTGTGGGAGCAGAACGGAGCACCCCAAGGAAACCCACACAAACCCAGGGAGAACATGCAAACTCCACACAGATGGCACCCCAGGGCTGGAATTTAACCCATGACCCAGTGTTGCAGGGGCAGCCACATCCCCTGTGCAGACTACAACCAGACAAGTCAGCCAGGCAGACTAAATAGACACCTGTTGTCTCTGATCTTTGTGTGGAAAGTGCATATGCTTCTGGAGTGGAATGAAACGAGAAAAGCCGAAATATGCCGCACAGCACAAAAAAAGCCGAGAGCCCCAGTTATTGCTCTTACAGTACCTCAGTGCCCCAGGCCCGGCCCGTCAGGGAAAGGATGCCGTCAGGTTCAGAGAGCGTGAAATCGGAGACTCTCTCTTTGGGTCAGCAGGGGAAACGGTCCTGCTTTAAAACTGGGGCCTCCCAGCCCCAGAGCAAATGGAACAAAACCGTCAGGGTCCTTTCAATAAAAAAAGGGAAGACGACCGTCCTTTCTCCGAAGCTGCGCTGACGCTACAGGTGTGCGAGCAGGCTACAATAAACGCTTACGCCAAGAGACGCAATGACGCACTGTCAGGCACACACTCACAAAAGACGGGCTCGGCTGCGCGCCACAGGAGACACGCAGACAGTCCCGAGACAAACGAGCACCTTCGCTCTCGCCTCCTTCCCTGGCGTCACCCCGGCCTGCAAAGAAAACGTTTCCCCTCTGACAAAGGGATTCCCCGGAGCCCCTCTCGAGTCCCCATGGCGACAGTCCCAGGCCCTGGGTGCTTGGGCAGAGAGAAAGAGAGGCGAGGGAGGGCTCGGGAAGCCAGGGAGCGCTGCTCCAGCAGGAGGAATGTGCCAGGCTCGTTAATAAGCTCTCCCTTTGAGTCAACACTTGTGGAACTCCTGAGCTCGCAACCCCACTCCCCCCAGTCCAGGAGTCTCTGGTGCCGCTGGTCAAGTCAGCCGTCTCTCGCAGAAAACCAGTTTATGCAGCGAGTGAGTGACAGCACAGCCTGACCTCTCCGGATTTGCTCTGGACAGCTAACCCTCTGCTCTGCGGGGGCTGTTCAACTTCCTTTCGGTTTCATGAACAAAGATGACAATTTGCCTTTGCCCAGATATGAACAATTATCTTCCTCACATCGAAAGGCAGCTCCTCACGTCTAAGCCAAAACCCAGAGGTGCCAAATCAATTTAGGCGCAAAGTGCAGTGTAATTAAGACTTAATGAAGGAGTTGTTTGCAGATACTGCACATGCATACATAATACAATGCACGGTTTTGTTTAATACTACTGCAATCTGACTTATTTGAGGGAGAACACATCTGTATAAAGGTTACTGGTAGAAAGTAACTTTCAAAGACTGTGACCTAAATTTTATTTCTGATGTGGCATAAATATTACATTTAGAAGTCCTGAGCTTATTTCTTGCAATTAACATAGAGGGAGCGATTATTAGCCCTTTCCAAGTATTTTATATTCTGATCAAACTGCTTCCGTCCGTATAGAATTGTGTGCATGCATTTGTTGCTAAAACTCACAGGCGGCACAAAATGTGGTTTCATTTACATAAATCACTTTTATTAAGTCATCCTTTTCTCTTTTTTTGTAAAAATCACATACTGTACATTACAGATGCATTATATAACAGGAAAAAAAAAACTGACCTTAACTTTTACAATTCTTATAAAGTGCACCAGAAATAAAGTAGCACTGTACTGTAAGGCAGCAAGACAGACACGCGTGCTGGGAGAACAGCCCAGAGAGGGAGGGGGGGTTTCCGTACCTGTAGGCTGTGGGCTATGGTTGTCAGGAGGTGGGAGGGTGGGGCACAGTCTCTGTATAAACTCTTCTACTCCTTTACTCACCCTTGAGTGGGCTGAACTGATTTTCAGAAAGTGGCAGCTGAACTACAGGATTCAGGATTGCTGGATTCAGCCCCAGGACTGTCAAGGTAGAAGAGGCAGGGATTCCTAGAGAGCCGACAATGTGGTTGTAGCCCAGTAGGTGGCAGTGTGAAGCAACTGTCTTAATGCCCAGGGACCAACGCGCCCTTACCGGGGCTCTGAAAGCTCAGGGACAGGACAGAAATTCCCACAGACAGGACCTTCCAATCCTTTCCAACAGAGTTTTGGTACAACCCCCTCCTTAATTAAATTGAATCAATAATCAATTAATCAAGCAGCCAAAGAGTTCGTTGTTCCAAAATCCAGGAGTGGAATGCACTGAAAGGTCAGGGATTCGACTCCCTCTTCCACCGGGCTCTTTTGGTTGTTTTTTTTTTTTAAGCGTAACCTCCTGTGTTGCCAAACAAGGAGCTGGCGCCACCACTCTGCCAGCCTGCATAGGCTGCCCTGCTAATGCCCCCCACGTGAGATTCAGGGGTCTGGCTCTTGTGGCACGCCACACTGTTAGGCCAGACTACCACCCCACCTCTGTAGGGCCGTCTGGTGAGGAACTCACTCCAATTCCTTACCCACCATGTCGGGTTCCACAACCCTACCCACCTTGGCTACTCAGCATATACAGTGTACAAAGAAAGGTTAGATAAATTACAACACTTTTTTTTTTACATACAAATATAACTGCTCTTTTCTTTTCTCCCAGTTCCCAATTAAATAACTGTTCAGAACAAAATCGATGACTCCGCCAATCATGGCAGCCTCCTTTTCCATCGTTTGGTCCCATCGTTTTCCCCCCAGTTGGCACGGCAACAGTGTGAGGGCGGGATTTAAGGCAGGAAGGGGCGGGGCACACATACAGGAGAAGGCGGGGCTCTGTGCTAGACAGAAGTCTGACAAGAAAGCACGTTCCTCTCGGTTTGGTTTAAGATACATAAGGAGTAACTAGACAGTGCTGCTTTGTAACACCGCGGTGACTGCATGGCATTGAATGCACTGTGCTTCAGGACCACCATTTATTGTTTAGTGGAGGATCATACATCTCTCGCTCTACTGAAACTATAGGATACCGAAGTGCACCAAAGCCCGAGTTCACTTTATAAAGAGGCACTGAAGAAAAAGTTTCACTTCAACAATTAAGCATTCGTTGAGAGGCACTGAGGTTCTTCAAGAGGAAGGACATGTTGATGCCGAGTTTATCATAAGGTGCAAAATGGATGCTGCCACATCTCGCTTGGCTGGTCTTGAGGGTTGCAGAGGATGGATCGAGGGTCCTGAGACAAGTGTTTGCCTCCAGAGGCTCCCTGCTGCCTGCACAGGGCCCCCTGGTGGGTGGAGGTAGTACATTTAGGTCCTTGTAAAGCTGACATGTGCTGCACTGGTAGTGACCCCTTCCCCATTGCCACCGCCTATTGTATCCAATTGCATGCCCTGCCACGGGCCACTCTGATGTCAGGCTCCCAATACTGATATTTCACATTCCCAGTACACAAGGCAACTGCTGAAGATGTGTCTCCCCAGCTGCATGACCCAGAGGAACAGCGCTAGTTCTAGTGCCATACAGCCAGCCATGTAGATGGGCTGGAAGTGAGCCAGACGCAGCTTTATCCTCTGGATAGACTCCTCTTCTCAGGTGCCTTGGTGGGATCAAGTCAACAGGAGAAAGGTCCCTCAGTCCCTCACAGGCTGCCATCCAAACGGGAGGTGGAACTCAAACGGACCCCGCAGAGTGCCACAGAGGACCAAGGAGTCCCTGGTTTTAAATAAATATTACAAGAAAAATACCACAGACATTTGAAATCCCCTGGGTCCTAGTTTAAAGGAGTGCACAGTCTCTTTTCCCCCCCGGCAGGACAGGTTCCAAGTCTCACCTCCACAGAGGCTGAGTCGGCATGCGGGGGGTCTTTCCCAGCCGGGCCCCTGGGCTCCTGGGGCTGCTGGGATCACAGTGCTTTGCCGCCTTTGCCGGAGCTGCTGGAGCAGGAGCTCGAATTCTGGTGTCAGCGGTGGGATTTGGGATCAAGCGGGACGGGGGGAGGAGGTTGCTGGACGGCTCCGTACCCCCCGGCAACCGCCTGGACACCCGGAGCAGGGAACCACGGATGAACGCCCCCGGTCCTGCAGTGCCCGGCTTGTCCTTCTCCTGCCTGGGTCGGTCTGCCGGCCGCCGCGGGGTGGGAATCGTTTTGCCGGCCGCCTCCGTGGTGCCCCTGGGCGGGTCCCGTTTCTCCCGGAAGCTGCCGGGACGTTTGCTTTCTGTAAGGGGGGCAGCCGAGGTTGGGCGGTTAGGCAGCGTCGAGCGCAGAGCCCCTCCCCGGGAGAGGGGCAGGCGAGACACCTTCGGGGCCGCCGCCTCCTCTGGCACAGGCGTCTCTGGCTTGGCAGCTCCGGGCACCTTCCCCCTGGGAATACCTGTGCTGGTGCCATTCCCACTCTTTTCTCTGAGCCCTTTCCTCAGAGCCACCTCTCTAGTCCTCTCTCTGGCCAACTCTTTTCCTTTTCTCCCACTCTCTCCCAATTCCTTTGTCGGGGCCCCACTGCCTCCCCTTTCCAAAGCCTCCCACCCGCCCGCAGCCCTGCTCTCCGCCTCTCTCTCCCGGTGCCACTTGGAACAGTGCGCGGGTGCGGGTCTGGGCAGCGGGGTGGACAGACTCTCGTAAGACCTCAGCCCGCGTACCAGCATGTGGCACTCGACCGTCTCCCCTACTCTGGGGTACGGAGCGTGGGGGCGCCCCATCTCCGGCGGGGGCTGCTGCACCAGCTGTGGTACCAGCTGTTCTGGCTTCTCCGGCAGCAGGGGCTCCGGCTCCAACTTCGGCGCTTTGATTTGGGCCTTCTCCGTGTCGGGTGTAGCCCTTGCGCCCGGAATGCCGACGCTGCGGCCGTCCGGCTGGCTCAACGGCGTCTCCGTCACGGCGAGGCGCTCCGGGGACGGCACGGGCTCCGGGCTCTGCGCCATCCCAACGGCCATGTCCTGGGCGGACAGCGGCCGCTCCGAGGTCAAGGAGCGGCCGGGCTGCCGCGGCTCTCTCCGCCGCAGGCTCCGGCGGCTCCAGGAGTTGCGCAGGTTGCGCTCCAGCGTGCGCTCCAGCTCGTCGCCCTCCCCGTCCCCCGCCTCCAGGGCCGTGCAGGTGGAAATGGAGCGCCGTTTCTCCGCGCTGTCCCTCTCGCGTTGAGCCCGCCTC